CCGAACATTTTATGTCAACATACACACATTTACAACTATAAAAAAAGGAGAACTGTTTGGCAGAACTCTCAACCACAATCTGTGATGACCAGGAAATACGTTTTTCTTCTTCACCTTCTTCTTATTCTTCTTCAGTCTCCGCAAGACAAAATAAAGAAAACCGTTCCATCCTCTCTGTCTTCCAACATGAAGGTGATCCGTGTCCTCCTGACATTGCTCATCATCCAAGGTGAGTGTTAGCAGTCTCAGCCTCCGTACAGCATACATAGGTTTGTTCTTAGGTTATAAGAGGACTCGAGTCAGATTAGTGTAACCTTCTATGGAAAGGAACAAAAAGTTAATCAAAAGGAAAGCAAAGGGAAAAAGTTGCCCAAACCATCCGGACCTTCTTTCTCCCACATTTGTCCAATGTAAGTCCTGTTTATAAATCTCTAATACACATTATACAGAGTTACTTCTGGAAGTGTTTATAGCTTTTAATATAACATTTAGTCCTCCCCACTAATGACTCTACGGGGTTATGTTTTAACACTAGAATTAAGGATAACAGTTGTATGCCTATAGTGAATGTGATGGTCATCTAACATAACGTGTGTTACTATTATGGAAGAGAGAAATAGATAATGATAATGATATAGATAATGACAGTGAGGAGAATAGACAGTAAGAATAATAGGGTATTGCATCATGTACAGGAGAAAGATCAGAAGAGAAGGGTCTAGTCCGTGCCAAGGTGAATATTGCACGGCCCCCGTTTTTGGTAACATTATCTACTTTCTCACTTGTGTTGTTTGTAGCTTTTTGTAACCTTTTCTATGCACTTCCAACCTAAGGATAATAACTCTATAGGCAGGCAATGCATGGCAGGTGATGGTATGATCCATCCATATATGTTCCACCCAACACCGGGAGCAAAAATAATACTTTGTTACTTTAATTTTTGGGTACCTTTTTGTAACCTTTTCTATGCACTTCTCACCGAAGGATAATACATATCTAGGCAGGCAGTGTATGGCAGGGGGTAGTATGATCCATATATATATATATATGTATATATATATATATGTAGGGCTGCAGCTAACGATTATTTTCAAAATTGATTAGTTAGCCGATTATTAAGTTCGATTAATCGGATTTTTTTTTTAAAAGGCTCCGGTGATGGACTACTAGTTTGTATTGAGATTGTAGTCCATCACGGGAGCAAGCTTGGAGCGGTGGAAGTAAAAAAAAAGTGTGGTGTGCAATATAGTACATTATACAATTATAACCTTTTCTATGCACTGCCCATCTGGAGATATTAAAACCAAAATGAATCAGCTGGTTCTTTATTGCTCTAGTGGTGCACAAATCTTCAGAAATTGTGAGTAGGTCTTTGCACTAATTCTATGAAGGATATCGCCTGGTTATCTCACTTGTAATGCTGGAGGGAGCAGTGTGTGTGGTCTGTGTTAGAGCTCCTGTTTAGAAAGTGAAAAGAGCAGCGTTACCCACAAGCCTGTATGATGCGGTGGATAGAAGTGTGTCTGTTGCTTTCTGTTATTTTTCTGTGTCGAGATTGAGGAACTTTGGGTTCCTGTAATAATTTGCCGACATGCTGTTCTAGTTCCAAGGCTGAGCGACAGACCGTTATACCTTGCACATGGTTCAGCCACCCTGCACCCTCCGCACCCCAATAAGTGACGGTGGATATTCACTATCTGTTTGGTATGGAGCACATTTTTGTGGCAGAGTCCCTTTAACATTTTTAGACCAGTGAAATCGCTTCCCTTCCTTTCTCACTTCCCCGGATATCTTGTGAAATTTTCTCTTAGTCACTCACAGTTGAGTGCACCGTGGAGTATATTAGGAGTGTGTGGGTTTATCTTGGCCGTCTTCCTCTATGACGTGTAGTTTACTTCTTATATTAATAGAACTGTGATCTTGACAACATTGTCTGGTCAGGGGAAAAAAAACTCACTGTAAGAGCGGTTCTGTTCTAGTGTCAGTTATAGAAAATGACCCAAAAGCCCAACTATGTGTCTAGCCTCACAATGTATAGAAATTCAAAGGGCAATAAACGGCTTTAAAGGTATACAGAAGAGATATAGAACTAAAAACATACATGTATTACTAAATCATTCAAAAATCACGTCTATTTTAAGGAGATGTCCTCCTATGAGCACCCACAACATAGGTATGCCAGACATCTATATACATGAATTCATCTTGTACAGGACACCAGGAATGGGTCCTGGATGGACGGTATATCCCTCCCTTGTTTGGGTGGTGGTCCCGTTAAAGTCACCTTGTATTCAGAGCCTCCATCCCTGACTACAGCCAGTTCTGGTAATGAAAGGGTTAAACCACCAGCCAGAGGGTGTGTTAAAAAGGAACAGGAAGCCAGTCAGTCTGGCTGTGTGGAGTGTTTGGAGCAGGACACATGGCTGTGTGTGTTAAGCTGTGGAATACAGTCTGCCGAGATGCTGCTGGGGCACCTGCGTCCATACTGGAACCCTAGGTGCGCAGGCTGGGACTCTAACCCTGAGGCTGGGACTCTAACCCTGAGGTGGGACATAGTATACAGGCGCTGAGCCGAAGTCTTGTGTTTGCTGAATATAAGCCATTTACTTTGACTGTATGTGGAAATTAATAAAAGTTTTTATTGTCTGATACGGCTGGCTACGGGTCATATCCACCCTGAATATTACAATCTATTTAAAGATGTTGAACTTGAACAGTCCTAAGGTCCAGTAAACAACCACTGGAAGATTGCTTGGTGGGGAGAATCTTGGCGGGTGTTGCCTCCGTAGGTGGCTTCTTCAGAAGATAGAGGTGAACAGAGCATAATATCACCACTGCTCAAAACCTGCATGCGTGCAGCCACCTCATAACCCCCGTCTGGGTGGGGGACCACAAGAGGGGACAAATGAGACATACACTTCCCGAGATCTCTGACCTGGTGGTTTCCCCCCAATGAGGCATAGACCCTCTGTGTCTCACTAGAGTTAAAACGCTGGACCACCAGGTCAGTATTTGTCCCCTCCGGGGGACAAATGATTTATTACTAAATGTATGTTTTAGTTGTATATCACTTCGGTACACCTTTTAAAGCCCTATATTGCCTTATGAATTTCTGCTCCAGTGTCGGTATCAGGCTCTCCATGGTAGGTCAGGGTTCTATAAAGAATGATGATTGTTTGCAGTCAGACATTGCGCAATCTGTCCATCTAGCTATGTGCCACCTTCTATGGTCCCTCTAAAGGCTGCCATTAACTTTCTGGTTTGCCTATCAGAGAAATCCTGGATCCTTTCTGTCTTTCATCATTAAAGTGATGCCAATCCTCAGCTGGGCAATTATAGGTAGAAGGATTTCCAGATGGAAGTTGTCAGCATAAACCATGTAATAATATTAACACTAGACTGGGATTCTACCTTAGACCAGACCACACATGTCATAGTCTTCTGCAATCTCCTTTAGATACACCATCAACTACATAATACAGAATCTATGTGATTGGATATCATTTGAAAAGGAAGTTTAGGTAGGACCTCTATCTACATAATAGTTAAAAGTGAATGGGATTGAAGAGGTATTTGACAATCAGATCATAACATGTGTGGCCTCTGTATCCCTTTCTCTGCCAGAGCCAATGTTTATATTGCGCACACATACTGCAGTGTAGACATGTGCACACAAAAAAATTGTTTCCAGACGAAACAAATGAAAACGAAAAATGTTTTCATTCGCTTCGTCAAAAGAAATACATTTTTATATTGTTTTAGATTCGGCGGCAATGATCCTCCGAATCCGAAGCCGCACTCTGAGACCGCAGAACGAGCGGTGACCATATCGACCGCCGGTGCGTCCTGAGCATGTGCACCGCCTTCTTGGATTAGATCATGGTATACACCAAGAACGGTGCCCGCATGTTCAACCGCTACCAAGATCTAATCCAAAATGGTGGCGCACATGCTCAGAACGCGCCGGTGGCCGTATTGGCCACCGCTTGTTAAATGTGTGACGTCACCGTCATGCGACATCATACGCTCCACCTCCAAGATGGCGGCGGGCATGCACAGAACACACCGGCGTATTCTGAAAACAAATGTATTTATGCCCGAATAACGTTTTAGTATATTCTGGCATATATTACATTTGTATTTCGGATTCGGACGAACCACCGAATCAACTGATTTTCATTGATTTGTAGGTCCGTCCCAATGCACATGTCTACTACAGTGCACCGTTAGAAAATTCACTTTAAACCCAAAAACATGATATATTTTCTGAAAGGAGAGACCCTGTAGAATAAAATGGTGGTCAAAAAAGATTTGCGCTTATTGTTTATCAGATCTATATTTTTAGTAAATATACCCAAATTAATTTCAGTGCACACAAACTTAATTTTTTTGAGGGGAAATATAAAAGGTGAGGTTGTGTCAAGTAAATGGATACCTAATAAGTCAAGCCTATAAAACTGTGTCCGCCCATGAAATGGCAAAAACCTACGGTACCCAAAACTGTCCATAGATGATGCTTTATGGTTCATCAATTTAGAGTTAACCATGAATGATAACCGTTATATAAAATATTACAAAATAAATATAATTTATTTCCTCTTAGGAGACGTCTACAGTGACGGAGACAAGTCCTTCTGTACAGAGCAGCCTGACTCCATAAGGGTAGAAAAAGGAGGATCGGTGACCATCCCTTGTCACTTCTCTTATCCCAATAATAATACACCAACAGAGGTGAGAGTGTACTGGAGACAAGGCCCAACAGGAGGTCATTGTGGACAAAATCCATTCATTTACAATCACACTGAGAACTATACAGGACGGATCAGTATGGAGGGAAACCCTAAGCAGGGGAGAACAGCGACAATCAGAATCCAGAGACTGAAGGAAACGGATGGACCCATGTTCTGCTGTAGGATCTCACTACGTTATAATGGGGATAAAACGGCGGAGTGGCAGAACCGGCATGGAACCTATATAAAGTTCAAAGGTAAAATGTGTAAATTAAAAATGTTTTTTATATGTGTCACCCTGCAGGAGGAGGACAGACTCATAGCTCCCTTCTGTCTGTATCACCCTGCAGGAGGAGGACAGACTCATAGCCCCCTTCTGTCTGTATCACCCTGCAGGAGGAGGACAGACTCATAGCCCCCTTCTATGTATCACCCTGCAGGAGGAGGACAGACTCATAGCTCCCTTCTGTCTCTGTCACCCTGCAGGAGGAGGACAGACCAAAAGCTCCCTTCTTTTCTCAAGTGGTTGTCCATACTAGACATGTGTACAGCATAAAAATTTGTTTTTGGAAGAAACAAATGAAAAGGGAAAAACCTTTTCATTCCTTTAGTTTAATAAAACAAATAATTATGCTATTTCGCATTTGGAGGGAACGAACCGCCAAAACCAAAAGTGCACAATTAAAAACAAAAGCGTGGCTGCCATGATGGCCACACATTCTGCACATGCAGCCACCATCTTGGAGGCGGGGTGCATGGTGTGGCTCGACACCAGCGTCAGGTGACATCGAACATATGTATGTGCACCGCCACCTTGCACGGCAGCAAGATGGCGGTGCCCATACAAAATGAATTAATATATGCCCAAATATAATTTTTTATATATTCGGGCATATAATAATTCATTATTTTGGATTCGGATGAACTGTAGAATCAACGGAATTTCTTGATTCAGCAAGTTCGTGCGAATCCTAATGCACATGTCTAGTTCATACATTTGAATAAACTTTCAAATTGGTCTCACATCTCAGAATAAAAGAATTTAGTGATCATTACAATGGTCTTCATAGTCAGAAATGGCTGCAATATTAAATGAGGGTTTGTCAGAAGGGATGACAAAGCCCCAGGAAATAGAATGGGTTGGTGAAGAGGGAATCTTTAGTGTAGATCTATCTTTGACTGCTACATAATCTTAGACCTATTTTTTTTCCTGTGTGCATCCATTCCTCAGCAGGTTAACACAGAAAGATTATTTAATGGTATATACAGTTTTGGAAATGAGTCTCCACTATTGGGTATTGTCACTACATGATTCCCACAATCCGACAGTGCTTCCATTAGGCTCCAGTTTCTGTAGTTCTTGTCTTGCTAAAGGGTCATGCTTTTCAAGCCCAGTCGCTTTCAATTTACTATACTGAGAAGACTACAGAAGAAAATCTAAAGCTTCTCTCCAGTCTGGGAGCTCAGCAGGTGGGCCTTTGAAATGTTGTTTATTGCACTCAGCGTATATCTATCTGCAGGCCATTCTATGGTGAGCACCAGAGTTATCTTTGGCACCTTTCCCTCCCTAACCAAGATGGGGTAATGTCCCAACCTTCACTTCCACTCAAGGGCTCCAGATGGCAAAGACTGGTCTATGTAAAGCACCTCTACACCCATAAATGGCTCCTACAATCTCACAGGAATGCTGTATCAAATTAGACAAGAGCTTCCCCAAGATGGCACCAGGAGCCAACATCAGAAGACACAATGGTCCTGACTGAATTCCTTTTAGTACTATTGCAAAAATGGTAGTCACCTGACCGCTTTGTTAGCACTACCAAAATAAAAAGAAAGCAACTAGCAGTCACAAGTTCAAAACCTGTAAATTAAATTATTTTGCTCTGATAGTAAATCCTTATCTGTATAAGCTACCCATCACTATAAATGTCTCTGAAATACACTAACAAACGCATGGTTCTTAATTAGTGTTATTATTTAAACTAATATAAAATGCTCATTGTCTATATGAAACTGAAATTCATGTTCAAACGTTTTCAGCAGTTTTTAATGCTTTAAAGTAAGAATGCTTTCAGAAATAAAAGTGCTAATAGTTTATTTTTATCAATTGACAAAATGGAAGGTAAATGAACAGAAGAGAAATCCAAATCAAATCAATATTTGGGGTGACCCCCGTGCCCCCCCTTACTTGCACACAGTTTTTGAAGGAACTCGGCAGGTAGGTTGTTCTGGGTAAATCTTGGAGAAGCACAGACCTTCTGTGGATGTCGGCTGCCTCAAATCCTTCTGTCTCTTCATGTAATCCCAGACAGACTCCATGATGTTGAGATCAGGGCTCTGTGGGGGCCAAACCATCACGTCCAGGACTTCTTGTTCTTCTTCATGCTGAAGATAGTTCTTGGGTTCCACAGTCGGGGTACTCTATGGTGATCACATGACATTGGCTGTATGTTTGGGGTCATTGTCCTGCTGCAGAATAAATTTGGGGCCAATCACACGCCTCCCTGATGGTATGGCATGATAGATAAGTATCTGCTTGTATTACTCAGCATTGAGGACACCATTGATTCTGACCAAATCTCCAACTCCATTTGTAGAAATGCAGCCCCAGACTTACAAGGAACCTCCACCATGCTTCACAGTTGCCTGCTGACACTCATTATTGTACAGCCCATCCCCGAACAAACTGCCTCCTGCTACAGCTAAATATTTCACATTTTGATTTATCAGTCCAGAGCACCTGCTGCCATTTTTCTGGACCCAAGTTCCTATGTTCTCATGCATAGTTGAGTCGCTTAACCTTGTTTCCAGGTTGGATTCCTCCGTGAAGGCCACTTCTAGCCAGACTTCTCCTGACAATAGATGGGTGTACCTGGGCGGCCGCGTGAGGGCATATAAGAGCAGCGTCTGACGTAATATGCTCTTATATGCCCGCACGCGGCCGCCGATGCCTGCAGTGTTCGGCTGTCAATGGACCTGCAAGCATCGGTGGCACAAGGGGTGTGTGTCAAAGTCACACAAGAGGTGTATGGAAAGCCAGTGGGAGCTGCTAAAACATATGGAGCACTGTAGATCTGCGGACTGTAGATCTGTGGAGAAGTACCCCAAAAGCCCTAGTATTGGGTCACTTGGTCTGTAAGACAAGCTTCAGTTGGTGAAACTATTCCATGTTATTTTTGCTAGAAGACTAATGGACTTTACTGTATCATTATGCTGACATGACGTTATTTTTTGTTTGCGGTAAAATAAAAAGATTGTCCTTTTATATCAATCGCCTTGAGAGTGGTCACTAAGACTAGGGATGGTCGAGCATTTGCAGAACGCCAAACTTTATGGGATGTTTGCGGTCTGTTCGACCGCGCAACGTCCCATACTGCAAAGAGTCCTCCAAAGCTCTAATTGGTTAAAGACTTGCCCCTGACCACAGGTCAGGTGCAAGACTTTGCTCAATCAGGGCTCAGTACTCATTTGGAGCCATGATTGGGCAAAGTCATGATGACTCTGCCCAATCATGTCTCGCCTATCGGATGCTGGCAAACTACACAAGTGGGCGGAGCTAGCTGTCACCGCTAGCTCCGCCCATTTTTTTATGTTTTGCCGGCATCTGTCAAAATGCCATTATGCGGCGGGAGTCGGACGGTACGGCGTTTTTAAAAAAATCATTATTTCTAATAATTTTTTGTTTTATTTTTTATTTTGTCGTCGCCGTGGACAACGCTGGACGCCGTGATTGACCCCGGATTACATTGGTGGATCAATTTTTGGGGTTTGTTTTAAAAAAAAATAAAACATGGATTTTATCAAAAGTTTGAACTTTTTCATAACTATTTTATTTAACCCTTTAGTGAATGGGTAAGGGTACAAGTAAGCCCCCTTGCCTGCAGACCCCCACAACCACTGGGTCAGGGTTGTGGGGATGAGGCCCTTGTCCCCATCAGCACGGGGACACCCTCTCAGTGCCGATGGCATGTGGCCTGGTGTGGGAGGGAGGGCTGGGGCTCGCTCGTCCCCCCACCCTTTCCGGCCCTGCCAGGCCTATGCCCGGATCATGGTATGGAATTTTAGTGGGGACCCCACGTCCCCCCCACATTTTTGGGGGTGGGGTTCCTCCTTAAAATTCCTACTAGACCTTAAGGGCCTGGTTTGACTTTAAGGGGGAACCCCACAAACTTTTTTTTTTTTAAACATGGGGTCCTTCCTAAATATTCCTACCAGACTTTAAGGGCCTGGTATGACTTTGAGGAGGAACCCTACACTTTAAAAAAAAAAAAAAAAAATTGGCACCTCCTAACATTCCTACCAGACCTAAAGGGTCTGGTGTTGTTTGGGAGGGGGAACTGCATACTTTAAGAGTTTTTTTTAAAAAAATTTCATTTTTTTTTTCTTTAGAAATGTCAGTTTTGCTGCAGCAGGTTCTATACATCGTACAGATCCCCCACTTCACAGGCAGGTTAAGGGGACCCTCAGGCACAATATTTGAAGGATTTTTTCATTTTTATTCTTACCCTTTAAGTGATGGTAAAATCACTGCTTCTTTAAAAACGTTTTTGTTTTTTTCATTGATTCCTGTACCCCAGGGCAGTACCCGGACCCCCATACACCTTTTATGGCCGATAACTTGCATATAAGCCCTCTTAAAGGGGACAATCATTTTAGAAAGTTCGACCCCCATTGACTTGCATTAGGTTCGAGTTCGTATTCGGTATAACCGAATTAGGTGTAACCCCGTGTATGACAATCCGACACCAGGTACCCTTGCTCCTAGAGGCCTTGAATCTGGCCTCGTGTTAACCAACCCAACACTTGTAGTACTACACACCCAGGGCCCTCCTAATATCCACCGTCTATGCGGCTCCAGCGCTTACTCCCCCTTAGGGAGGGCACCCTAGGTCGGGCATAGCCCGTTGACACACATACCCTCCTCGAGGTGGTTATGGCCACGGTGCCGTCCATCATCAACACACTCTTTGCAGAACCCTTCCATCTCAGAGGTTGAAGGACGAAGAACCAGTCCACACAGATAGTCTTTTGTTAGTTTTACTTAGTGGTGTTCGTTATAAAAGATGATACAAGGATTTCAGCCATCCCCAGGTGGGATGATGGCACAGTACTTTTCAGTTCATTGGAAACAGACATTTAGAGAGAGCTTAAGCCTAGAGTCCAGGACTGGTGTTGGCCAAAGGCCCATAGACACCTATGGTCAGTCTTACAGCACTTCAGTATCCTCCGAAATCCCATCCTAGACAGCCCTAGCTCGGTGGTTTCCCCCTCCTGGGAAAACTGGGGAATCTCTACAGCTTCTACATATTCCTAGGCCTGGTCCTGTACTTCCCATGGACCAGCCTCTACTTTAGAATCAGTCTCTTGTTCTCCCTTTGTCTCCTTCCACACTCTTCTCTCCACCCCGCTCGGGCGCCCCCTATATATTAGCTCTCCTGGAACACAGAGTCTTCCCAGGCCAGAGCTACATCTATCTCCAGGGGCATCTAGTGGCCATTGGCCATACTGCACCTATCCTACATGGGGATATACAGTAAATTGGTCTGATGCTCACATTATGTCAGAATGACTCCATCAAGGGCACTTTAATAGATCATTTTTATTGTTGTTGTTTTTTTCTGCAGACCAGTTCTCAGTAGAGCAGCCGGATGTTGTCCCTGCTGTGATGGGAGAAGATATCTCTATACCATGTGCTGTTCACAATAAATCTCCTGATTTTATAGAGGAGATTATCTGGAGGAAAGGAGAAAGTGACCTGTGTTCAGAAAATCCTGAATTTTTAAGATGGAATAAACAAAACATAACACAAAAGTTTGAGCGATGGACGGTACAGAAATCTGAGAAAATCTTCTCATTGCACATAAAGAGAGTTATAGATTCTGACAGTCGGCAATATTGCTGTGAGGTGATTACAAAGCTGAGAACACAGAAACAATCATCGGCACACGGCACCCAGGTAGTGATAGCGGGTAAGGACATTTCAGTAAAATACGCTTTGATTATAGAAGTCCAAGAGTGACTCTGAGTGATTTTCAAATAATCTTTGGGAGCCATGATGAAATGAGACATTATTTAGTCATCTGCTTTCATTTGACTTCTTTGCTCCTAAGTTAGACGGCTATTAAGTTGACAAAAAAATCTTTTTTTTTTTAACTAGATTATACTACACTTAATTTCTTTTGTTGCCTGTTTTTTTATATTACAATTTTGAAAAATTTAGCAGTATATACATTTTTGGATAACGGTTATACTACAGCAGGCATCCTATAGTTGTATGTCTAATTATGCTAATAATATAGTACTTATATGTCTCAGACAGCAGCAATCAATCGGTGCACTTGCTCGGAGTGAACATTCAGCTGAAGAGTATTTCACGTTGCCAGGTTAGGGAGATCACAAGGGGATGAGCTTTCTTACTTTCCTCTACAAGGGTTGGCTTTAAGTCTATTGATAACAATTACATATGGATTTCTACTGTACAACCAAACATATATTTTGTTGTAGATTATGTTGACAAAGGTTATAACTTTGCACCTACTATATGATCAGAACGGATGCTGGAGGTGTTTAAATGTAAAGATTACCTTAACTAGGGGCAGGCTGACATTAATACTATTTCACAATTATATAATGATGTAAGCTTGTACACCATTCAGTTTCCATAATCCACTTATTTACTCCACCAAAAAAACGTTTGTATCCCTGTTTCGGGAAGGGAGGGTCATGTGAAATGATCCTCTCCAATCAGCTAACGCTTCACACCTGTAGGTAACTAGGAAATCTTGAGCCTCCACAAAGTGGGAGTATGGGACTGAAATATAACTTCAGTGGCAGTGCCTCCACCCAACTGGGTGTCGTGGGTTACAAGTGAGAATGAGAATTACCTTTTTCCCAGGCTTGTTACTCACAGTTCCAGGTTCTCTTGCAGTGATCAAACAGATCAAAGTCCATGGATGCCTTTTTAAAAATGTCTTTAGAATAGTAGAACTGAAGAAGTGGAAGGGTTGGAATACAGAAAAATAGCTATAAATCCTGGCATTTCTTGTTGACAGTCCCTGTATGGAAGGTCAGTCTTCTCTCTTGCAACAGATCAGAAGTAAATCCATTCCCACAGAGGTTCCAGTGTGTGCTCTGTGTCAGGTCTTGACTACAGCTTGGTCCATTGGAGGTTCGGGTAGTTCAGTCTCCTCATAGATCCAGTCAGCATGGGTTAGGTCCTTTTTTCAATATCCAGTAAAGTTCATAAGCACATAATAGGCCTTGAGGATAGGCCTTGAGGGCCTAAGCCCTCAGGCCTGGGCAGCAGCCCAGCAGTCCACCTAAGCAGTGACCTCCCAACTGGCGAGTTGTGAACAGACAACAACCTAGTACTGAGCATGCTCAAGGGTTTTGTTATAGCCCGCCAACACATGACACTTTCTACAATGATTGGCTATCACAGAACATCATCCAGATATGATCCAACTCCAGCACAGCACTTTGTCACAGCAAAGCCTGGTGGATGAACAACATAGTTGACCCATGAACACAACCTACTGGTGAAAAATAGTAAATACACACAACCCAGAATTACAGCAGATGTTAGGGGGTAGACCCCTACACTTTTATAAATACCTACAACTTCGGCGCGTTCTATAGACTTACCTAAATGCGCTTAAAGTGATGATATCCCCCGCAAAGGTCTTAGATGTGTTGGTCCAGGCCACAACCACGAAAGGATTGATTTAAAATATGTACACTCATATGCCCTCAAGGCTTTTAACAAAAATGTCCAGGGCTGGGAGTCGGATAACACTAATTAATGCTTTGTGACTGTGAGAGTTTGTACTGTTTGTCTTATTGCTTTGTTTTATTGTACAAAAAAACTTTTAATGAATAAAAAAAAAATCTGATTTAAAATAAATAGATCCAAATTCCATACCAGGCCCTTTGTGTTTGGTATGGATCTTAACCCCACACTCAAAAAAAAAATTAAATAAGCCCTTTGATTTGGGTATGAAGAAACCCCACAATAAAAACAGTTAATGCAAAATCCATTACCAGACCCTTATCCAAACCGCAGCCTGGCAGGACAGGAAAGGGGACAGTCTACTATAGGCTATGATATCCGCCTTCTGCCAATCACAAGGGAGGCAGACCTGATGGGGAACTAGTCCTTTGATATCCCCATCAGGCTCTCTACCTCCTATACTGAAGCCTACCGAAGCTGCTTACACACTGCTCAGTCACTGAAATATTTTTAGCTATTGTCTCTCAAATAATATGACCATGAACATATTTGGTTAATGACATCAAGCAGCATCCTGGCCGGTTTGTTGACATTTAGCTGCCAGCAGGGACGCTGTCATTTGTGACGAGAGTGAGACGGTGAAGGATCATTGTGGTGTGTGGTGTTGTATTTGTACTCCTTACATTTCCATACTCTATACAAAACAAAATGGATAGGCTTCTACTTGAATTGACTAAACAAAATGTGCAGCATGAGTGTATTGCTGCTTTTGTATAGTGTGACCAATGGAGTGGAAGCTCAAATTGTTCTAAAAAATAATTTCAAAAGATAAAACCTGAATTTGTTCACCACATAATTTTCTGAAATGCAGCACGTGACATATTTCCTTTCTCTTTCAGATCCTAATCAGAATGATCCCGAGTTCACAGTCTCTCAGTCTGGGATAATTTTGGCCAATGATTCTGTCACCATCAACTGCTCTTACACCGTCCCACCAGACCAGAACCTTCTGTGGAGAGGAGTTTTCTGGAGAGTGGGCAGCCCAACAGGACCCTATGCCTATCACCCCTCTGATCTGATGGTTAATTCCAGTTACATTGGAAGAACTCAGCTGAGTGGACAGGCCGATCTCCAGATAAAAGAATTCCAAGCTACAGATAACACCACCTATTACTGCTTTGTGATGCTGACATTTTGCATTGGAAATAACAAGTACAAATCAACACTCAGATATGCAACACAATTTAATGGAAATAGAAAAAATTCAACCCCAACAGGTATAAGTTTATTTTCACAATTTCCATTATATGTGCAAGCCAGTCTTTTAAAGCGGAAGTTAAGAGTTGTTTTAAAAAAAGCCCTCCAGAAATGTTTGCCGTAATTTTCTAGTATGCACAGCATACTTGTAACTTGTAGAAGATTTCCGAATGATTGCCTTATGATAAATACAGCATTAGGCTGGGTTCAGTAAAGCCATTGTATCATCATGACAGCTGGGAAACCAGCAGTGATCAGTAATGGCAATCTTCATAGTTCTCCTGGTACAGGTTACAATTAGGGAGATTTTTAAAACAACTCACCCCAGTCCCTGCTTTCAGAAGAGCTTATAATTGAATATTTCTACCATACAATAGGGCCAATTTGGGTTGACAGTAACAGGGATCTCAAGTCTCCCTGATGTTCAGGGAGTCTCCCTCTTTTGGACAGCAAATCCCTGATGTCCGCAAGAGAGGCATTTTCTCCCTGAAAGCTTTACTCTGAGTAAACCTTTCCGGTAAGATATCAGTGGGTAAAGTTTCAGAGTGAGGCTTGCCTCCTGGAGGAAGGTCGTGTGATCTCTAGAGTAGCCTCAGAACGAGGCTTGCCTCCTGGAGGAAGAAGCTACTTGCTGCACACAGAGGGCGGACATAGACTACTACTGAATATATATATATCCCTGAAATGAGACGGGAACCTGCCTGAAATAAGGTTTTGCAGGTTGGGATGTCTGCTGTAATAAACTAATGAATCATTCATACTGGCCATAAGCAATATCTTGTGGAGCCCCATAATCTGCTAAATGGAGGTTTTCTAAACTTCTATGTTGTAAAAAAAATGTAGTAAAACCCCTTGCTCTTCAGTCTACGTGGAACAAACACAAAGCTGAATAAGTCAGTGGAGGAACACCCTTCCAGTTCACAAGGCTCTGTATAAAATGTAAAGGTTGCAGGGTGACACGCAGTGACTATATATTTTTTTTATTAGATGTATCTACTTCTATTTATTCTCCTATTTCCTCACAGGGATTCTGGCTGGAGTAGGGATCATACTCTTTCTGATTGTTTTGTGTCTCATATTGTTCATCCTGAAGAAGAGAGGTGAGCAGACTGGAAGGCTGAAACAGTCATATATATATAGACTGTGTATGTGTGTATGTCTCTGCCCTCGGTGCTTTGTGGTTTCTCCTGCTGGCATCTACATCACTACGGGGCACAGTAGTAATATAGGGGCTGGTGGATAGAACCATTGAATTCAGCACGGGGTGAGGGACTAAGGATCTGACACTCATGGAAGTGTCAGATTCTGAACATTCTTCATGCGGTGGTGTCTCTTTTACTTTATTGTGAGAGTTGTTTTAAAGCTTAATTTAATAAGATTGCCTATAATAAGGACAGTGGAATTGTCACTGGGGTAATAATCTTCTTTTATATTCTATTTTCAGGTGTAATCTGTAAAAAGAAGGAGAGGTGAGTGTTTCAGTGCTGATGACATCCTGTATCTAGACATATATATGGATCTTCTGATCTGCCATCCTGATAATCATACAATTATATGATTGTCCTTTACCTGTAGGCTTACACTGATGTCCTCATTCTGGAAATGCAGATTTCCCGGTAGTTGAGCCTTCAGTATTTCCTCTGGCATTGACTCAGAACAAGTCTATAGTTTATGAATTATAAACGAAGTTTAAGGTTACAGATCAGTGGCTCAGTTTTGACTGACTTGCTGCATATTTCTTCTGGGTCAGTGGCTTATAATATGTTGAATCCAGAGAATCAGCCAGACAGACAGTATTTGCAGAGGAAGGTCAGCAGTGACAGCCTAGGCGTTTTTATCATGAGTTTTCTTTAAACTTATGTTTACCTTTTTTCAGTGTAAAGTCTTCACCTTCACCTGTGAACCATGCTTCAAGTCCCCCAAGCACTTACGATAATGGTAAGGGGAGAGTATAATTTGGATCACTTGTTCTTAAACTTAACTTTCCTTTCCTCTCTACTTTACCTTGTCCTTCCCTTTCCTTTTCCTTTTTCATATCTTCACCTCTCATTTACCTTTTCCTTTTGCCTTTATGCTTCCCCTTTCCTTTTCTTGTCTCCCTTTCCTCCCCTTTCTCTTTATCCTCTCCTTTCTTTGTCCCTTTCTCCATTTTTTTACCTTTCCTTTCTCCTTTCATTTTTGTTTCCCTTTTCCATTCTTTCCCATCCCATTCCTATTCCTTTCCTTTTGTTTCTCTTTTCCCTTCCCTTTCCTTTCCTTTCCATGCCCTTTTCCCTTTCCCCTTTCCCCTTTCCTCTTCCCTTTCCTTTCCCTTTTCCATTTTCCTTTCCCTTTTTACCTCCCTTTCCATTCCTTTCCCTTTCCTTTCTTTTCTCCTTTCCTGCTTCATGCTTTAAGGGCCCCTTCCTCTTCCTCTCTTTCCTTACCTTTTCCCTCTCCTTTCCCTTCCCCTCCCATTTCTGTCCTTTACTTCCCCTTCCCTCACTTTCCTTCCCTTTCTTTCCCTTAACAATTGTCTTTGCCTTTCTTTCCTCTCCTTGATTCTGTTTGGTTGTCATACTGACATCAATTTATTTTCCTTCTCTTTAAGTGGAAACATTGAACGTCAGATCCAGCGGTACAGCTGATGGTCCAGAGGTGAGAATCATAATCATCCATTCACCGTGATACAACTGTATATCTGCCATCAACACCCAGCAGTTGTGTTGAAGCACTTAATGTCTAGTAGAGGCACCTTAAAAAAAGGAGAGGTGCACCCGCACTATCACAGAGTAGGGAATCTTGCGTACTTCTCTTACCCCCGTCTCAAACTGAACACAAATTGATTGTTATATATACAAATAGCACATAGGAATAAAAAGAACTGCATGTGTCTGCATCATGACGGATGAGTGATTTGGTATCACCGCAGTAAAAGAGCAAATTACCCTAATGGGTGTCACTCTATCACTGGCTTCTACAGAATTGATTTTGCTAGCCAGGGAGCAGCAATGGAGTGTCATCTCATTGGTCTAGCCAGTGTGGGAGCCACACCATAGAAATAGATGATTTGTTGGTTTGTGATCGAATCCCCACTTGGTGATGTAAGGCTTGGATGCAGCTGCTCGGCCATGGAAACCCATTCCATGAAGCTCTCTACGCACTGTTGTTGTGCCAATCTGAAGGCCACGCAAAGTTTGGAGGTCTGTAGCTATTGATTCTGCAGACAGTTGGTGACCTCTGTGCACTTCAGCATGTGCTGACCCCGCTCTGTAATGTTACGTGGCTGACCACTTCCTGGCTGAGTTGCTGTTGTTCCCAGTTGTTTCCACTTTGTTATAATACCACTAACAGGTGACCGCCGAATATTTAGCATATTTAGCATAATTATAATATATATTATTTAGCATATTTAACATAATTAGGGGGAGACATGCTAATTGTGCATATGGGCAAATTGCACTGCTGCTGCCATGGACCCATGAACCCAGTTTACATACAAATGACCCCTCACCTCTTGACCTTGCCTCAGGCCAGCAGCATTCCTCCATATTAAAAGAATAGAGGTCCTTCGGGCAGCAATACAATGCATGGAAGTTATGTTTAAAATGCAAAGCACAGATACATCAGTAGATACCTCTGGTGCCTTCACAAGGACCCTCTAGCATTTAGAGGCCCATTCACATAGGATGTGAGTTCACATAGAATGAAACTGAAGTAGCTCAAAGTAACAAAGTAATTCAGCCCATCAACAAGAATCATCAGGACTGCTACCCTATTGTTGCTTACATTACTGAATGGATTGAAACTGAATATGTCCAGCGGCGTGGCTAGAAATCACAGGGCCCCATAGCAAAATTTTGTATGGGGCCCTGTGATTTCTAGTTAATCCCACCTGATATCCCAAACAGCCCACCTGAGGGTGACCCTGCAGGGGTCACCATAGACTCTCTATGGTGGGCTCTGCAGGGTCTCAGGTGAGCGGTCAAGCCCTCTTACCTGTCTGCTCTGATCCTCTGTTCGCCTCCTTATCCTCCAAGATCGCTTGCGGGCCCCGCCTCCTCCGTCACTGGGCCCCACCTCCTCGATCGCCGGGCCCCACCTTCCCATCCTTAAGCCCCACCTCCTCCATCACTTTGCCCGACCTCCTCCATCGCTGCAGACGACAGGCCCAGCCACCTTCTACGGAGCTGCTGGTTGTCACCGACCCAGCAGTGGCTGTGAGGAGGAATGCGCTGCTGAGCATGTGAATAGCGGCGTGTTCCTCCTCACAGCCACCAGTGATAGCCAGCAGCCTGAGACACCATAGCGAACCAGGCGGCCTGCACCGCATCAGAGGGATGTCCTGGCCAGGCCCCGACCTTGCCCCGGGATCCATAGCAGCCGCCTGGGTCGCTATGGTGATTGTTACGCCGCTGTTTATGTCCATGGCTCCCGTGTCATACTGTTATATTGAAATAGTAGTTCTGCTGTTCCATGCTTTACTAGCACGTGAAGCCGAAGGTAAACATTGTAATTGCAGTTACCAATCCTATGAGGAGTAGGATTCTAAATACGTAAGGGAAGGACTTCTTCTTATTATTGTTTTATAGAATCTTTCAAGGGCAACTATAATGTAACACACATAACACTGTCTTTCTGTTCTAGGAACCGGGGGGAACTGTTTATGCACATTTGAATGTGGAAGCACTTCAGCAGGGTGCTACAAAAAGGAATAAAGGGGACGCTTCAAGCTCTGACAACCAAGTTCTGTATGCTGCTGTTAAACCCGCTACCGATCAGGTTATATATTCAGCTGTTTGCTAGTATCGTGGATATGAGATCTCCTCGGAAACTGCATAAAAGAGACAGACTGTGGTGGAGTGACTTCTACAGTGGAGTGTTGCGTGTTGGATGTAAATGTCACATATTCAAGTGTTCCTCACACATTCAACAAAAGCACAAGGATACAAACATTTTTTTTTTTTTTTTCAATGTGAACTTGACTTACACTATATTGCCAAAGTATTGGGACGCCGGCTTTTACACGCACAAGAACTTTAATGGCATCCCAGTCTTAGTCAGTAGGGTTCAATATTGAGTTGGCCCAACCTTTGCCGCTATGACAGCTTCAGCTCTTCTGGGAAGGCGTCCACAAGGTTTAGGAGTGTGTCTATGAGAATGTTTGACCATTTGTGAGGTCAGGTACTGATGTTGTAGGAGAAGGCCGGGCTTGTAGTCTCCAATCTAATTCATCCCAAAGGTGTTCTATCGGGTTGAGGTCAGGACTCTGTGCAGGCCAGTCAAGTTCCTCCACCCCAAACACGCTCATCCATGTCTTTATGGACCTTGCTTTGTGCACTGGTGCGCAGTCATGTTGGAACAGGAAGGGGCCATCCCGAAACTGTTCCCACAAAGTTGGGAGCATGAAATTGTCCAAAATGTCTTTATATGCTGATGCCTTAAGAGTTCCCTTCACAGGCACTAAGGGGCCAAGCCCAACCCCTGAAATACAACCCCACACCATAATCCCCCCTCCGCCAAACTTTACACTTGGCACAATGCAGTCAGGCAAGTACCGTTCTCCTGGCAACCGCCAAACCCAGACACATCCATCGGATTGCCAGACAGAGAAGCGTGATTGGTCACTCCAGAGAACACGTCTCCACTTCTCTAGAGTCCAGTGGCGGCGCGCTTTACACCACGGCATCCCACGCTTTGCATTGCACTTGGTGATGTAAGGCTTGAATGCAGCTGCTCGGCCATGGAAACCCATTCCATGAAGCTCTCTACGCACTGTTGTTGTGCCAATCTGAAGGCCACCCCAAGTTTGGAGGTCTGTAGCTATTGACTCTGCAGACAGTTGGCGACTTCTGCGCACTGTGCGCTTCAGCATGCGCTGACCCCGCTCTGTCATTTTACGTGGCCTACCACTTCCTGGCTGAGTTGCCGTTGTTCCCAGTTGCTTCCATTTTGTTATAATACCACTAACAGGTGACCGCCGAATATTTAGTAGCAAGGGAATGTCACGGAACACCTGAATCCAATGATTTGGAGGGCTGTCCCAATACTTTTGGCAATCTAGTGGTATGTCTCTTTCAATCTATGTATCTTTAATGTTTATATTTATGAATTACAGTTGAGCCTTCTTAAAACAGAAGGAATCTTTCTGTCTCTGTTCTTTCACAAATCCCAAAACTAAGGGAGCTTTTCTTGTGAAGAGTCCATACTCTGATTAAAGATGGCCAGCAAGTCTAAACCAGCTGCATGCAGTTTGAAATAAATGACTCTATAATATTAAGCTGCATCTGTACTATACATCAATGATTCTGGATTTACAGTTGGAGAATGGGGCCTAAGGGAATGGTTTACATGGCTCTTCCTGCTATCCTAAAATGAGGAATACATGTTTCTATTTTGGTGATTTGTGATGGAAGTGAGACATGTAGATACTTTCTGATAGACGAACTCTTCTGTGTTTGGCATTGGTTTTGTTGTGAGCCTTTTGGTTCCTTTTTTGGTCTCCCTCCCCATAACCTCTGTGGTTATACTTTCTCTTATGAGAATTATAAAGCCAAGGACTTTGTAGAACAAGAAATTAGGAATCGGGAAATTGGTTAATGTGGGGAAGTGTTCTACAGGAGGTTGACTGATAGTGGTTTGTTCTTAGAAACACAAGAGGAAGAGCTGCTTAGTCAATATTAGAACTCAGGGGCTTTACCTTGGATGAGCTCAAATTGTGCAGAGCTTGGTGGGTATCTGAGCTGCAGTATTAGTCATAAGGATGGAATATAAAGCAGAACATCGGGTGTCCAGTGAAGGATCATATTCAGAGTAAAGCATTTAGTGGTTAATCAATGTGTTTGTACTTTTAATCATGAAAGGTTCAGTCCACTAAAACCGCCATTAACAATACAACCACTTACTATAATCCTATAGCTTTTGGCTACCCCAGTTGTAAAACTATTCTTGGGCTTTCAGGTTTTGGATTTTCAGCTTTTCAAGTAAGGTGCACACTTACCAGCTAGCCCGCAGTTAAACAAATTACACTTTCTAACTATTAGTGCAGAAAAACAGGTGTGCTAGGAAATACCTGTAAAAAATTTACAAAATTGTACAAAAATTATCTGGGAATGAATATGGTGAATGTGGCTCCAATCCACGTAATCTGTTAGTGGCAACCAGGTGTTGATCGCATTTGCATAATTGGAGTCTAGGAGGTGTTATTAACCTGCCCAGAGAGAGGGAGGTTAAAACAGCATTGTATGTGGCAGACAATAGATGTCCCCTCCACCTCTATTCAAGCTTGGCTTCTCCATTTTTACATAAATGGCCTCTTTCACACCTCTTTCAAACCAGTCCTTCTCCCTGCTTGGGGGTGTGCAGTGCTGGCATTTCTTGCTTTATACACTTTTATTCATTGTTATACTGAATTTGCTGTGAATTTCAATAAAGTCTGAAGTATTTGAATTCTTTGCATAGTGCGGTCTGTTTGTATTCTACTACATTCCAAGATGGAGACGCACCTATTGGACCAGCTTCTGCGGAGTCCTGATGGTGGCTAATGAATTGGAGCGGTGAGATTTCCTTTGGCTCTACAGTTCTCCTTCCTGTCTAGGATGCGTACTTGATTATCTTCAAAGGAGTGACCTTTTTCTTTGAGGCGGAGGGGCTGAGACTGATATTGTCTGCCACATACAATGCTGTTTTAACCAGTGGCGGAGCTAAGGAACAAAGGGCCCTGGTGCAAGATTTTTTTTGCCCCCCCCCAAAAAAACAAAAAACACAAACACAGCGCTCTCCTCCCGCAGTGCTCGGCCGGCTGTCACTTTCTCTCCTCCCCGCTGGGACACAGAGCAGTGCCCAGCGGGGAGGAAAGAAAGCACGGATGCGCCGCTGTATCAGCGGAAATATGGCACTTTTGGCATTTAGCCAAAAGTGCCATTTCCGGCTGATATCTTTTGGTGAGAGCCGCAGAACAAGGAGGCACTGAAGAAAGCCCTGCAGGCACATCATGGGGCCTCGGACGGCAGTGAGGACCCAGCAAACAGAAAACACACAGGAAACAGATGAAGACAGAAGACCGTCCAGATGGAGAGGTGCCCTCTCTTTATACATTACCTTCCGCTTGCAGACTCGCACGCTCTGCTCTGCCTCTCCCGCTCACAGCCGGCGAACCCAGCGGAGTGGGCGGGACCGGGCAGTAGCGTGCTGTGATTGGCGGAGGGTTGCCGTGGCGATAGAATGCTGACCCGGCACGGGAGCCGCGCTGTGTCAGATTACACAGCGCAGCTCCTGATCGGGCTAAGCATTCTATCGCCATGGCAATTTATACCATGACCTGGAGGAATGAGAACCTTCACAGACATGTGCTAGGAAATGTTTGTGTTTGTACTGTGTAAAGCCCTCCCTTGTGCACCTCACTTTAAAAGCTAGTACTAAATTGATTTGTGTGGTTGCCATTTGCTATGTGATTTAGTTTGTTTCCCCCGAGTGAGTGTCTGTGATCATATCACGATTAAAGTTTTCCAAATTTAAACCGTTTATCTATGGTTTCGTAGATAAACTTGCATTCAAGGACTTCGTCCCACAGCTTCTTATTTGGTACAATATGTTTTTATTTGAGCGTTTCAATTCACAGTACAGATCACAATAGACATGCTTACATAGATAACTTTCATAAAACAAATGACAAAAGCAGAAGTATAAAGGAAAATGAATTACTCCCCCTGGGGTACATCTGAGTGCCCAGGTAAGATATCACATGTCACAGTCAAACCCAGGACCAATGCCACCGCTTCTTTTTGATAGTATTCAATTAATATTTCCATTAATTGTACATCTCTGCAAGTTTGCCTCCCACAGGGGTTTAAAATATGGTCCTATATTCCTTATATGAGGAAATAACTGTATCCGCCTACCCCGGGGTTAGTATCCTCATTTATGTACTTTTCAAAATATTTTAATTATAATCCGTTCTACTCTCTGCTTTGCAGCGCTATACAATGGTTGTGCTTTTGCTTTTGCTTTTAGGAATCTGTTGAGTCACGCTGCTCCCTCTAGTGGGCAATGTACAAATTAAAAAAACTGGAGAAGAGCAAGTATGTACCATGTGAAGATCACACTGCAAAAATAACCCAAATGACTCTATATATGGAAATATGTGCTGGTTGATACTTTACTTTTCCTTCATATTGTAAAGCGCTGCACAAACTGTTGGCGCTATATAAATCCTGTATAATAATAATAATAATAATAATAATAATATTCAGAATGATCCTGAGCTCACAGTCACTCAGTCTGGGATAATATCGGCTAATAAAGGAGACTTTGTCACCATCAACTGCTCATAAACCGTCCCACCAGACCAGTACCTTCTGTGGAAAGGAGTTTTCTGGGGAGTGGGCAGCCCAACAGGACCCTATGCCTTCCACCCCTCTGATCTGATGGTGGATTCCAGTTACCGTGGAAGAACTCAGCTGAGTGGACAGGCCGACCTCCAGATAAACCGGGTCCAAGATACAGATCACACCACCTATTACTGCTCTGTGATGCTGAAATTCTGCACCGGGGCACCACAGTCCAACTCAACCTTTAGATGCGGAGGTAAAGCACAATTAAATAAATTTGTAAAAAATAAGAGCCCAACAGGTATAAATTATTTATCTTTCCCGTTTTCATTATATGTGCAAGTCAGTCTTTGTAACAGGCTTACACGTCCTTCGTTCCGGGATCGGCGCAGGCTTCCGCCGCGTCATCGCGGATGTCACCAAGCCCTTCCTCCTCTGTCTGTTTAAGCCGTGGGATTCAATTCCCCGGCGTTCGAGCAAAGGAGAAGACGCTGGGAAATACCGCTCCTACCCCGCACGCTGAACCTGCCTCACACCTGCCTCAGACACCCTGATCTCTGCAGACTCTGAATATTGCATCAATCTCAAGCTTCAGTCCCTGAACAGAGTTACTGGATCGTATTCACTGCTTGCCAGTTCTACCATTGTGGAGCAGCACCCCTGACTGCCTATTGGGGTTACGTTGCACATAGCACCACAGAGATCATTTTCTACAGTGGACTCTTAACAAGGCTACCTGGGGATAAGTCCGAGTTCCAGATTGATCGCCAGCGCAATACTTCTAAACTGCAAGTACTAAACATACCAAACGAAAATTCAAATGACTGTCTATGAAATATTCCCTCTGATATAAAATATCATCTCACTGTTCTACTATCAAGTTGATTGCATGTTGAATATTCCTAAACTAAATTGCTTGTTTATCCATCTGCATTACTCAGAGGGAATATGTGTGATACACTCCCCGCACTTGCAGTCTATTAGCCTGTGATACACTTCCCACACTTGCATTCTATTAGTCTCCAGGGAAGCTGGTCATAACTCATTGTCTAAAGCAAGTTAAACCCCTCCACATCACATCCTCACTGTGAGTCATCGGGGTGTTACAGTCTTGCACATGGGGAGAAATGCTTTGGGTAACAAGGACTGTTCTGCATTCTTCTATGTCAAGCCAAATAAATATTTATTTACTAGTTTTGGATGAATTGGGGGAATATTAGACCTCCTGTTGGGTTTTCATTGCTATTCCCATTGCCATTGCACCAACAAGTTTTGGATTCATCTGTTGAATAAGTTCCATCCGAACTATTTCTATCTCTGAGTTCTGTATGACTTTATACACACGGTGTATTTGGCATGCTTGGGAAGTTCCAACTATTGTGTGTAGATACATGTATGTTATGAGGTTTTGGTGCAGTGCGATAAAATATATTTTGATGATATGGAGTTTTGCTTGTAACATTGAAAGCCCCATTAACCCACGTGTTATTCTGTATGTTCTGTAGGGGTGAGATTCAACCAATGTAGTAACCCAAAGTCTGGTGTTTCTCCATAGGTTCACTTAATGTAGCTTCTTATGATGATGTGACAACAATGCGGCACTGCTTCTGAATTCAGAGCAGAGTTTTCACCCTCATGTAGGCTGTGCCTGCTTGCGCTACAGTGAAATGAGAAGATGTTTCAGGGGGTGTGGCTATCAGTGCTGCTGGTTCACAAATCATCTTGTGGCATTTCTCACCCTTGAGTCTCCTCAATGGATGATCACTTGGCATCCTCACCCCTGTCCAGTGAGAGGAAGCAGTAGTGATGAGCCAGGAACCAGCAGATTAACTTCAATAGCTATCTATATTAAAATAATGACTGGTCTAAACAAATAAATTAGGGATGAACCATCCTCCTGTGACAGCTGTCAGGATGGAGAGCGGGTACAAGCAGTCGGTGATCAGTGATCGCTGAGTGTTTGTAGATAATTGAGGACAAAGTATGGTTACTATATACCCAATTATGAATGAATGGGAAGTGATCTACATCACCTCTACATCACTTCCTGTACATTCATGATTGTGGTTATAGTAAACACACAATGTCCTCATGTTATGAATGAACAGGAACACTCAGTATAGAGGATTCCTGTTAATTGATAACGGGGGATACAGAAAAAGAGATGGAGGACTCTGTGGGGGTGATTTACTAACCTAAACACACACACACACCAGGTGTGTGTGATTTTCACACAGCAAAACTTATTTATCAACCAAAAAGTCTCTAAAAGCATATTTCCACTAATGCCATATATGGAAAAATCATGCACATGATGCATATATAATGCTGCTTCACAGTTTAGACAAAAATGGTTAGCTCATGCATTTACATTCCTTGCATTCATCAACGCAAGCAACACAACATAGAGCTAATTTACCCAACATCACCTTGGAATTCATTCAGGGCTTTGCACAACACACCTGCTGGGTGTGTACACATTACAAAGGTGTTTAGATTCCACCCATAGATCATGCTGGGAGGGAACACACTGCAGAGGTGTATACACATTCGTGGTGTGTTTATAAGGTTAGTAAATCAACCCCTATGTGTCTCTGAGGACTCTGTGTCTCTGAGGACTTTGTGTCTCTGAGGACTTTGTGTCCTCAATCTCTTTTTCTATTTTAAAAAGGGAAATATCAGGAGCCTGTTTACATCCCTAATATTTCCCTGAAGCCCCTAAAAGTAAAGTAAAAAATACAAATATTTAATAAAAATAAATGAATAAAAATGAAATATATATATTTTTAAAGTTTATAAAAAGTAAATAAAAATCAAATATTTTAAAATATTTTAAAAAAAGTGAAAAAGTTAGAAAAAAAAAAGATTTTCGGTTTCGGCCTGAAATTTTTTTTCATTTCAGTTTTTTGTTTCGGTTTTAAAATTTGAATTTCGGTACACCTCTAAAATAAATACATATATAAACATATAGCTAGCATTAATACCAATTCACCTAAATGTATAATAATATTACAATCAATTTAAGGCCAAACATCCCAATATTAATAGATACCGGGGCAAATTACAGTAGACACATATCTCCTAAGGGGGATTGACATTACATACATATCATATTCTGTGTCTATCAAACCAGGATTTCAGGCTACAGAATACTAAGCTAGTGAATGAGCTGTAAAAATAGATCAGAAAATGGAGGAGGAATGGAATGGAAGGCAGGGTCTGTTGAACTATCATTCTGACAGCCCCTAATAACCCTTCTAAGACCCTCTGATTGGTCATGTCATTTCTGTAAAGGTCCGCCTTGGGTACCAGAAATGTTGGTTGTTTTTTCAGCCTTTCTCAATTTTCCATTGAAACTACGCACAAATGTTTAGAGTCATCTTGATGGGCAGTGACTCTATCAGAATCAATAGATGTAAACAGGTAAATCTGCGCTTCTGGAGAGGGGTGATAATTAGAATGAGTGAATAAATTAATTTAATTTAATAAATTAAAAATATATGTGTGAATAAATAAACCCAAAGCTGCTCTGAAAAGGGAGGAATCCTAGTATGATCGAAAGACAACAAAGCGCTAAGGGTAAATGTATGTGCAAAGAAGTGAACAATAGGTTTTCTGGCGAGGCCAGTCTAGATTGGTTTTAACTGTTTATTACATTTTTGCTAAAGTGGTGTTATATATTTTTAGGAAGTCAGTCCTGTTTTATACATTTTTACATTAGGTTCTAGACTGGCCTTGCCAGAAAACCTATTGTTCACTTCTTTGCACATACATTTACCCTTAGCGCTTTGTTGTCTTTCGATCATACTAGGATTCCTCCCTTTTCAGAGCAGCTTTGGGTTTATTTATTCACACATATATTTTTAATTTATTAAATTAAATTAATTTATTCACTCATTCTAATTATCACCCCTCTCCAGAAGCGCAGATTTACCTGTTTACATCTATTGGTCAATACCTTTTTATCTGCAGCTATGGAAATATATAATTTTCTTCAAACTAGATCCATTAACCTTGAGGAAGTGTTCAGCTTCGAAAAATTAACTAACACCACTATTGAACAGGATCTAAAGTCACTCAAATGGTTGCTAGAAAAACAATTGATCCTTTGGTGGGATATCACCACCCACGAACGGTACCTAGTAGACGGTATAGTTCCCAGAAGTCTCCGTTGGGATATCCCACCAAAGGATGGGCTTAAAGATCAGGAGTCACATTTAGAATGGTTGAGATTCCTTCACCATTGTGAGGAAAAACTCCTACAGCTCCTGATAGCTAGAAAGAGACGTAAATTGGACTCAGTGGAGATTAAGATTAAAGAGCTTAAAATAAAGATCGAATCTCAAGGAGAACCTGACCAATATAAAGACCAGGCAAAGGATTTGGAATTATTTCTAATTAAAAGAGACTTAGAACTTAAAAATAGAAAACACAAAAAATACATCAGAGACATGTTTGATTTTAAAAACCAAAGAGTTTATAAATGGCAAACTCCAACAGAGGAGGTTAACAGCTGTAATACCAGTGAGCAAGGCTCAGTCATAGCTCATGAGGATTTGAATCGAGTCCCCAATACTGTGAATTTCCACTGGAAACCAGTACATAAGAAACGCAAAAGAGAGAGCGAAGGGTTAACCATCCCCCCTCTAATAGATCATGATTCTAGTTCCCAAAACAAAAGACCCCTAATACACCCAACCCGTCCTAATTTACCCCTCTCATAACGATATCATCCTATAATGGAACAAGAAGAGGAAGATCAGGAATCCCCGTTTGGTCCAAATGATCTAACCCTCAAAACACAGGTTTTTTCGGAACACACCCGCCACAATCCTCCCTACAAAGACACACATTTAAGGGGACATACGAGTTATCCACCCCAGAGAGGGAGGCGCCCTCCCTGGACATACAGAAACCATATGGGATGGGAAGACCGTACAGAACGAAATTGGGGAGACCAAACACATATAAGGGGAAGGGGAAGGAAGGGTCCATATGGGAATCAGAGACTCCACTTCAGAAATCAAAACCCACAAGGAGGGGCTGTAGAGGGGGACAAAAATTACATAACAGGGTACAACAGAACCTGGTAACGGGTGGCATTTTCAATCTAAGTTCGGTCCCTCTTAGTGCTGATGAAGAAAGGGTCCTAAACTTGGGATTGAAATGCGCCCCCGTGCACAATCTAAACAAATTCTCCACTTATGTAGACCTTCAGAAATTCATCAGAAAACTTAATATAAAAAAGTACTACTCTTCTTCATCTAACACGACCACACCTTACACTACCACCACCCAAGAGAGAAAATATATATATACTCCACTTAAAAACAATTCCATTTTTAATCCTAAAAACAATTCCAACCACTTCATAGAAGTTTTTAAAAGTCTAGTGGAAGAGGACATTAGATCCCTAAATATTAAACATTTTAAAAATAAAGCATTTATTAGCAAAGGAATTGAATCTCTTGAGGACAGAAAAGATATTGTCATTAGGCCCGCAGATAAAGGTGGAGCGGTAGT